ATTTTCGCATGATGTCAAGCAAAGAGGCACTGAGTTTGAAGGTAGGCCTTGAAATACATCCACAGGTACACCTCCAATTGACTCAAATGATGAATGAAGCTTCTAATGCCATGACATCATTTTATGGAATTTTCCAAGCTGTTTAAAAGGCACAGTCAACTTAGTGTATGTAAACTTCTGACCCACTGGAATTGTGATACAGTGAATTATAAGTGAAATAATCTGTCTGTAAACAATTGTTGGAAAAATTACTTGTGTCATGCACAAAGTAGATATCCTAACCGACTTGCCAAAACTATAGTTTGTTAACAAGAAATGTATGTAGTGGTTGAAATACGAGTTTTAATAACTCCAACCTATGTGTATGTAAACTTCGACTTCAACTGTACACATGAGATGAGTAGTGCAAGATATGTAAACATTATTAAAGTGGTCAGTGATTTCAATAGGCAGCAGCAGCCTCTAATGTGCTAGTGATGGCTATTTAACAGTCTGATGGCCTTGAGATAGAAGCTGTTTTTCATTCTCTCGGTCCCAGTTTTGATGCACCTGTACTGACCTCACCTTCTGGATGATAGCGGGGTGAACAGGCAGTGGCTCGGGTGGTTGATGTCCTTGATGATATTTTGGGCCTTCCTGTGACATCGGATGCTGTATGTGTCTTGGAGGGCGGGTAGTTTTCGCGTTCGGCAGACCGCACCACCCTCTGGAGAGCCTGCGGTTGCGGGCGGTGCAGTTGCCGTACCAGGTGGTGATACAGCCCGACAGAATGCTCTCAATTGTGCATCTGTAAAGGTTTGTGAGGGTTTTAGGTGCCAAGCCACATTTTTTCAGCCTCCTGAGGTTGAAGAGGCTCTGTTGCGCCTTCTTCACCATGCTGTCTGCGTGGGTGGACCATTTCAGTTTGTCGGTGACGTGTACGCCAAGGAACTTGAAACTTTCCACCTTCTCCAATGCGGTCCCGTCGATGTGGATAGGTGGGTGCACCCTCTGCTATTTCCTGAAGTCCACGATCATCTCCTTTGTTTTGTTGACGCTCCTAGAACCCTCACCTCCTCCCTGTAGGCGGTCTCGTCATTGTTATTAATCAAGCCTACTACTGTTGTGTCATCTGCAAACTTGATGATTGAGTTGGGAGAGTGCCTTGCCACGCAGTCATGGCTGAACAGGGCGTACAGGAGGAGGCTGAGCACGCACCCTTGTGGGGCCCCAGTGTTGAGGATCAGCGAAGTGGAGATGTTGTTTCCTACCTTCACCACCTGGGGGCGGCCCGTCAGGAAGTACAGGACCCAGTTGCACAGGGCGGGGTTCAGACCCAGGGCCTCGAGCTTGATGATGAACTTGGAGGGTACTATGGTGTTGAATGCTGAGCTTTAGTCAATGAACAGCATTCTTACATAGGTATTCCTTTTGTCCAGATGGGATAGGGCAGTGTGCAGTGTGATGGCGATTGCATCGTCTGTGGATCTATTGGGGCGGTAAGCAAATTGAAGTGGGTCTAGGGTGACAGGTAAGGTAGAGGTGATATGATCCTTAACTAGTCTCTCAAAGCACTTCATGATGACAGAGGTGAGTGCTACAGGGCGATAGTCATTTAGTTCAGTTACCTTTGCTTTCTTGGGTACAGGAACAATGGTGGCCATTTTGAAGCATGTGGGAACAGCTGACTAGGAAATGGAGAGATTGAATATGTCCATAAACACACCAGCCAGCTGGTCTGCGCATGCTGTGAGGACGCGGCTAGGGATGCCGTCTGGGCCGGCAGCCTTGTGGGGGTTAACATGCTTAAATGTCTTAATGACGTCGGCCATGGAGAAGGAGAGGCCACAGTCCTTGGTAGTGGGCCTCGTCAGTGGCACTGTGTTATCCTCAAAGCGGGCGAAGAAGGTGTTTAGTTTGTCTGGAAGCGAGACGTCGGTGTCGGCGACGTGGCTGGTTTTCCTTTTGTAGTCCGTGATTGTCTGTAGACCCTGCCACATACGTCTTGTGTCTGAGCCGTTGAATTGCGACTCCACTTTGTCTCTATACTGATGTTTTGCCAGTTGAATTGCCTTGCGGAGTGAGTAGCTACACTATTTGTATTCTGCCATATTCCCAGTCACCTTGCCATGGTTGAATGCAGTGGTTCGTGCTTTCAGATTGGCATGAATGCTGCCATCTATCCACGGTTTCTGGTTAGGGTAGGTTTTAATAGTCACAGTGGACACAACATCACCTATACACTTCCTGATAAACTCAGTCACCGTTTCAGTGTATTCGTCTAAATTATTTTCAGAAGCTACCCGGAACATATCCCAGTCCACGTGATTAAAACAATCTTGAAGCGTGGATTCCAATTGGTCAGACCAGCGTTGAATAGTCCTTAGCACGGGTATTTCCTGTTTGAGTTTCTGCCTATCGAACACCTTTGGGATGAATTGGAATGCCGACTGTGAGCCAGGCCTAATTGCCCAACATCAGTGCCCGACCTCACTAATGCTCTTGTTGCTGAATGGAAGCAACTCCCCGCAGCAATGTTCCAACATCTAGTGGAAAGCCTGTTATAGCAGCAAAGGGGGGACAAACTCCATATCAATGCCCATGATTTTGGAATGAGATGTTCAACGAGCAGGTATCCACATACTTTGTAGTGTAGATAGGTATAGGGGTAAGGTGACTAGCGTAAATGGAGAGGTGTGTGTGCATGTGTGTGTAGAGTCAGTATACATGTGTGTGCATGTTACATGTGTGTTGGAGTGTCATTGTGTGTGGAGTCCTGTGAGTGTGCATAGAGACCGAGCAAAAATATAAGGGGTCAACTCAGATAGTCCGTGAAGCCATTTTGTTAGCTATTTAGCAGTCTTATAGCTTGAGGATAGTAGCTGTTTCGGAGCCTGTTGGTGTCAGACTTGATGCATCTGGTACTGCTTGTTGTGTGGAAACAGTCCAGAAGATACTATCATCAATAGGCGCTAAAGCAGTTAGCATCTATGAATGGGGTAGGGCTGACAGAGATAACTTGTGAGGAGCAGAATCAACAACCTCTGCATAATCAAAACAGTTGCTTTGTGAGGTGTTAAAGGTCACAGTTAGCCATTGTTATGTAAATACCAGCTGAACAGTACCAGTGGCCTGGCTTTGGCCCCAAGTGAGAGCAGGTCCACAGGAGCCATTGGTTCCGGCCCACGCAGAGCCTTTTGGGTAAAACACCGGGGTAAATCCTTGTATGGAAATGCGCCATAATTTCACTTTCACACCCCATCATTCACTCCTTAATATCTCCTTGAAATTCCCCTTCGTTGTTTCGAAATGTATTAATTATGAGAAAAGAAACCAAGATTATGAAGGCTTCTAATGTTTGGAAAATTATAATCTTGAGAATTTTCCATAGGTGATTTCATGCCCAGAAATAAAACGCTCGGGTACATATCCAACATTGAGAGCGGTTAATGAATAGTTAAACATACTATTGATGCGAAACTGAATAGCCACCAAGAGGGCAGTTAAAATTAATGTTAGGGCTATTTGAATTGATGCATTCTAGGGTTTTTCTGTGTTCTTGCTATACACATATGACTACAGACATTCTTAGCTACTTCACCAACAACCGAATAGCCCCTAGGCGTGTATTGAAAACCATTGTGAATGTAGTTAACTAGTTAGTTAACAGTAGGTGGCTTGCAGTCAACACAGACCGAGTTGGGGTGTGCTACCGCTGGCAAACCAAGCTGTCCACTCGCAAAGCCCCTCTCTCGTCAAGGTGTAAAAACTCACGTTTACTCGCCAACGGTCGGTAAAAGCTAGCCACTAAAATATATACAAAAAACAGCAACATCCCTGTTCTGTGCTAGGCAAAGAATATAGCTAACTAGCTAGTTTTGCTAACGTTAATCGCTAACTATGTTAGTTGGCTAGCTTGTTTGGTAAGCTAGTTAACGTTGTCATTGGCTTGCATGATAGCATAATAACAAATCAAACGTGACAACAGACATTTATATTCAAAATGATGTTGCCTTTTCGACATGTCTTGTCAGCTAGGTACGTTGGCTTGCTAGCTAGTTGCCGTTAAATTGTAGCTAGCTCATCCTAGATAGGGTAGCTAGCTACACTGCTAGCTAATGCTAGTCACTGACACTACTTTGTTGAACCACCTTCTGACGCGCTAACGTTAGCTAGCTAGCTCGCAAACTCAACTGGCCAATGCCAAATATAAGGCTACATTCGTTATTTGACACCTGAAAATGACATCATGTTACACGTGTAAGTGCTGTCTCCACCATATAACCGCAAGGTTAATTGCAAAATAACATAAAATATCATACCTTCAAGCAATCGGGAGATGATGCTGTCAACGTTAAGCTCGCTTTCCGCCATTTTCTTCAAAAAACTGAAAACTACTACGCAGAGAGACCTACCTCGTACTCACCGACAGGGGGCGTGGTCTACTACTACACAAACTACACCGTTTATTTAGGTTCAATCAGGGGTTCTGTCTTTTGGCAAAGATTTGTAACCAATAACCAGCTAACTAGAGTTGTTCTTTGTATCTGAGCGAACAACGCCTTTTGCTGGTTGCTTTACCTTACATGGAAGCTGACCTGCTTGCAGACACAGTAAATTCAAAGTTAACAACATAATTCGGTGATATAACCAGTCCATTACTTTTATTGTGACCCTCATAGTGCTATCACAGATACTGATAACTCTCCCTTTTGTCTGTGTCTCTGTCAAATATTAAAATGGTGAGACTACTGAGGTATAATAAGAACGGGTGAGACTACTTGTGTCCCCTCAATGAAATACACACACTTGCCCCCAACATGGCTTGGATTACGTTGACCTTTTCATCCTGGTAATTCATAGGGGTTCACCTGATGCAATTGAAATACCAGATTACATAGTTACTGAAAATGTTTTGGTTTTGGTTTTGGTTAATACTAAGCTATTGTCCATGCCACGTAAATTATTTTGAAGCTGTATTTTCACACTCAGACATATGGAATAGAATCTCTACAAGAAAGTATTTATTTATCTGTTGCTGAATGGAATGTTCATCAACAATGTTTATTGTTTAAATACAAAGGAAAATGGTACATTCTTAGGTAATGCAGGGTGTACAAAACACACCTTATTCATAGGAAGAAAATATGCCATAATCCGTGTGCATTTACAAAACAATTAGCAAATCTATTACATACTTTATATACAATATGTTTATGTTTGATACAATGCCATACACTCGTGTGTGTATTTGTGTGTGTGTGTATGCATAGGTGTGTGCGTTTATGCATGTGTGTTTGTATTCAAGCCTTTGTGACCATCTCCAAACTCCCTCTTAGAATTGAATATCATTAGAAACCAGTTCCTTTCATCTCAACCACTCCCTCTACCATTTTCCTCTTACTCTGCCATTCTCTGCAGGACATGAATAGCCAAGTGATTCCCCAGCCGATCAGTAAGCCAGTGATACCAAGCACCACGGGCACCCACACAGGCATGGAGGAGTCACACTGGGCCACAGGGCTTGGTGTGGTGGTGCCAGGGTTTGGGACAGGTGAGGTGGGGTTTACAGGTGGGCTCGGGAGGCTATTGACCTTAGTGAAGATGAAGGGTTGATCCTAAAGGAGAGAGCAAATGTCAGATTAAGGGAAACTAACATGAGAATAGATCTTCTTCTACAACATTGTAAGAAGTAGCTTTCAGTAGGTGATATGACTGCTGCTCAACCAACACACTCAACAACCCACATGCACTGTTGAGTCAGCCAATGCAACGACTGACTTACTGATTGCCATTTCAGCAAACTCCTGACCAAACTTTTCCACAATAAATGTTGTGTTCATGTTAACATACCTCAAAAGGACAGTTGATTTTGGTGCGGTCATATGTGAAGTTGTTGTAGACCTGCTTCCTACCCACTGGCTCCAACTGTAAAAACAAAACACTACCTCTGTCAAATCACAAACCTACACAAACATGAAATACTATGGCCATAGCTCATGTGTTGTGAGTTATGTTTCAGAGTACACTCTATGCAGCCTGGTCCCAGATCTGTGGGTGCTGTCTTGACAATGACCATAGGAGTTGGCAATGTAACAAGTGTTGAATTTCATGTTTTATAATTACACTAAATCTGAATAGTTCCATACCTGATATTACTGTACATTCCTTTTGTTGTTGTCAGTGCCCTTTTTAATGTGGCACACTTCCTTCTCCTTCTGCATTCCCCCTCATAAACATCCTGCCCCCCTTACCTCTTCCCTGTCTACTGTACCCATGTGGAAGAGGTAGGTTACTGAAACATTGTTCAATGAAAATCATAATCAATCCTATATGTTAAAACACGTATAATAACGTTTATATGGTTACTGGCAGTGTATTATAATGGTCTCCCACCAATATATTGGGATATTCATGTATTTCAGTAATTTATCTGTTGATTTGTGAATGCTGCACATGTTATCTAGCTACAGTACTTTCTACTGTAGGCTATGTTGTCAATGGGCTAGCATGGCTATTCATGTCCCCTGTTGTTGTTCTTTTGTACTTGGAGTTTGCAGAGGAGTTTGGCGTATAAGGACAGCACAGCACAGCATTTGTTTATGGAAGTTTTTCCTGTCATTAACAAACAATAAAAATCAACAGCAACCCTGATCCTATGGTCTCATGTGAGCCGATCAAAACAACGCAGAGGCAATCTACAGCAAGACAGCACAAACAGATCTGGGACCAGACTACTCTCTAAGTGACTGTCCTCACCATGTTGTTCCAGAGAGCGATGGCCATCTCAGCATGTGCTCGCTCACTGACATGGAAACAATCCACAGAGAAGAAACTCAAGTCAGGCTTCCCATCCTGTGGAGACAAGAGAACAGTGTCAGTGTGTGTATGTGTGTGTGTGTGTGTGTCTGTGCTTCACATACGTGCGTGTGTGTGTGTGTGTGTGTGTGTGTGTGTGCGCGCATGTGTGCAGTTAAACCACACTCACCTCAATGAAAGGGACAAAGGAGTTTCGTAAGTAGGGTTGTACAACGACAGTGAAGTCCTCTCGCCCATCATAGCGCCCCCCAGAGACCAGTCGCTCAGTCTCGATCTGGACAGAAGCATAGACAGAGTAGAGAGAACAAAGAGAGAATGTTAAGTATTGTAGAGTTATGTTGGATTGATCTGATCACATTGAATGCCTGTATCTTTAACTGTAGAACTCATGTATCTCCACACATTGGAACATTGGCCAAGACCTTCCATACCAGTAACACATGACAATTCCTCATAGAGTTAGAATCCCAGTTGTTCAGACTCAGTGGAGGCAGCTGAGGAGAAGACGGCTCATAATAAGGGCTGGAACGGAGTAAATGGAATGATACTATTCCACTCCAGCCATTACCATGAGCTCGTCCTCCCCAATTAAGGTGCCACCAACCTCCTGTGTTCAGACCGTGTTTCTTGTGGTGATGTGTGCTTTGTCCTATATTTTTATTTTGAATCCCAGCCCCCGTCCCCGCAGGAGGCCTTTTGCCTTTCGGTAGGCCATCATTGTAAATAAGAATTTGTTCTTAACTGACTTGCCTAGTTAAATAACGTTTTTTTTTTTTTTTTAGACCCTGCTCTGCCCATACCTGGTATTCCTGGTTGATCCGAATAACCTCTGTAAGCTCAGGAGAGTTCTCTTCAGGGTAAAAAAAACAGGGGCAAGCATTCCTGTGCAAAACAAAGACACTTGAGCGGAAACATTCTCTAACGCTGTGAATATACACATTCTACAGGCATATGATGCAGTGGGTGTAGCTGCTGTCTTTGTGGGGAAATGGGGAGTTTCATACAAACCTCTGCATGAGGGTGCAGACCAGAGCGTCCTTAGTCACTCTCCTCAATGGATCCATCTCCAGAACCTCCACAACATTGACCATTACCCTCGGTACCTTAGAGAGAGATGGAGGGAGATGGCATGATATTTGGCTTTAAATGAACCTAGTTGAGTGAGTACAGGCTTTAATCTATAATAAATCTCCATTACCAAGCCTTCCATCACTAACCTCTTTGTACAGCATGTCCAGGCTCAACATCAGATTCTCGCTGTAGTTCTTGGGTGTAAGGTTGTTCTGTGTAAAGTAGAGCATATATAACACTTTTTTAACACTATTTTTTAACACTACCACTATTCAAATTATAATAATGTTTGTTTGACTTTAAGATAAGAATACATACCTGGTCCATGCAATAATCACAAAGATCCATGGAGCCAACGAATAAGGTCACTAGCTTCCAATCCTGTTCAAAATTCACCTTCTGTGTGCGTGTAAAGAGGAAGAGAGAAATTGCTATAGATTATCATACACTCATTATACAACAATATGTCATTATTCTTATAAACTGAGTCCAGTATAACAATTCAACACAGTTACAGAGTCATGGAAGAGGCTTGCATCCCAAATGACACCCTGTCCCGTTGGAAGAGGCTTGCATCCCAAATGACACCCTGTCCCCTTGGAAGAGGCTTGCATCCCAAATGGCACCCTGTCCCCTTGGAAGAGGCTTGCATCCCAAATGGCACCCTGTCCCCTTGGAAGAGGCTTGCATCCCAAATGACACCCTGTCCCCTTGGAAGATGCTTGCATCCCAAATGACACCCTGTCCCCTTGGAAGAGGCTTGCATCCCAAATGGCACCCTGTCCTGTATGTAATGCACTACTTTTGACCAGGGCCCATAGAGCTCTTGGACATAAACCAGTCTCACCTTGTCATCTTTCATGGCCTTGATGAGAGCTTGGACTTGGGCTGGGATATCTCTAGAAGAGACAAATAAACATTTGTTAGAACATAGTGTTTATAATGCCTTAGTTCAAATGAGAAGACTGATGGGGAGTTGATAGGCAAGCAGCCAGAGCTGCCGGGAATGAAAGGATGACACTTAAAAAATAGGATGGGAAATAGAGTGACTGGAAAAAGAGGACAGTGAGTGGACGAGGGAACAGAGAGGTCGAAACTTAACTCTCTACTCACAAGGCCTTGGCTCCAGGCACCGCCATGTTGAAGCCACTATTCTGCAGCAAGCTCTGACCCTTGGAGAAGCCATAGAGGGAAGGGTTAAATTTCTTCAGGATGTCTGAGAGAGAGAAAGAAAAGTAGAGATGGAAAATAAGCATTGGGGCGTTCTGGTAAAGCAAACAGACGTTTCATTATCAAATGGTCCATTTTAGCTTTATTACAGAGAGAGTGCTGCCAGCTGGATGAACCATTTTTCCTCTATGCAAGGAGGCTGCACTCCAGAGGAATGTCATGAGATCATATGTTGAGACTGCCATCTTGTGGATGTATGTGTAAATGCTGAAAATCTACTGTCACAAGATCATGTGCACTGGGTATTCATAATCACAGGAGCTTGCTGAGGGGAGAATAGCTCTTAATAATGTCTGGAACGGAGCAAATGGAATGGCATCAAACACATGGAAACCATGTGTTTGATGTATTTGATGCTGCTCCGGTCATTGCCACCAACCTCCTGTGTATTCATTGCAACCTTTCTCCAACAATGTTACAGAAATAGTCATATGTGAAATCAAGGCTCATTTGGCTCATTTTGATGGACAGTTAAGATGAGCCAATAGGATGAGAGTGACAAGAGGAAATAGTGTCTCACTTGGTAGTGTGGTGACAGTGTCCAGCGCCTGATCTCCTCCAATACTGCAGAAATACACACACATTTAGTCAATTTCACTGTTGACCAGTGTTCAAGCAGTCTGGCAGTATCATTGTGCTCTGCAAGTGGTCCATAACGTGTATGCTATGCATTTAGACTATGTTGGTGCATGATTCATTACAGAATGTATGAACAGTATTTCGAGTCAGTCTCATAGCAAAGGATCTGAATACTTATGTAAATAAGGTAATTCTTTATTTTTTAAAATTTTTAATACATTTGCAAACATTTCTAAAAACCTGTTTTTGCTTTGTCATTATGGGGTATTGTGTGTAGATTGATGAGGGGGAAAAAGAATTTAATCAATTTTAGAATACGTCTGTAAAGTAACAAAATGTGGAAAAAGTCAAGGGGTCTGAATAATTTCAGAATGCGCTGTACCTCCATGACACTCCTTTATACTGCGTGTTGAGCTGCAACACGTTCTTTGCCTTGGCTCCAACTGCTGCCTGCAAACAGATGACAACAAAGGAACATGATCAACCCACCATGTAAAGAATATGTCCTCTCAGCACAAAGGATAATATAAAATCAAACACAGGCAAATACTGCTGACACATCAATATGAATACACTGGACTTGCACAATCACTTTGAACACCAATGGGCTATCACAAATGCTAAACAACTCCCTGATTACAAATGATTAGGTCAGAAAACCTGCTATCAGCACATTAAGATTGTTTTGTTCTACACGCACGCACGCATGCAGGCACGTGCGCACACACACACACACACACACACACACACACACACACACACACACACACACACACACACACACACACACACACACACACACACACACACACACACACACACACACACACACACACACACACACACACTTACAGTGTTTGAGTCTCCCAGTGCTGCCACCACCTTGATGTCTCCTGGTCGCAGCTTATGAACTGGGGACAGAGGAACAGATTGATCAATAAAAACAAATACACTCCACTTCCCATAGTCCATAATGTTACAACATAGTCATCATACACTGCTATAATTTGTTGGGTTTTGACACCCATCTCAGACATGTAGTGTGATTGGACATCTATCTCAGACATGTAGTGTGATTGGACATCTATCTCAGACATGTTGTGTGATTGGACATCTATCTCAGACATGTAGTGTGATTGGACATCTATCTCAGACATGTAATGTGATTGGACATCTATCTCAGACATGTAATGTGATTGGACATCTATCTCAGACATGTTGTGTGATTGGACATCTATCTCAGACATGTAGTGTGATTGGACATCTATCTCAGACATGTAGTGTGAATGGACACCTATCTCAGACATGTAGCATGATTGGTCTAGTAAGGGGGTTGGACAAATGTCATGCAAGCAGGTCATTGGCCTTCCCTTAGTTATGCACTTCCTCTTATGAAACCTCGTCACCTCTTACTACACTCTCACCTGATGTAGGCACAGAGGTGGATGGAGCCAGGTCCCCACAAGAGAAGTCACTTCCCCAGTTCTGGGAGAGACGACAGACAGACAGACAGGCAAACAGGCAGGCAGGCAGGCAGGCAGACAGACAGACAGACAGACAGGCAGGCAGGCAGGCAGGCAGACAGACAGACAGACAGACAGACAGACAGACAGACAGACAGACAGACAGACAGACAGACAGACAGACAGACAGACAGACAGACAGACAGACAGACAGACAGACAGACAGGCAGGCAGGCAGGCAGGCAGGCAGGCAGGCAGGCAGGCAGGCAGGCAGGCAGGCAGGCAGGCAGATCAAAGTGAGACAGTATTTTAACACATTTCCTTCATCAATGCCCCCATACCTAAATTTATGATGAACACAGTTCAATGCCCCATACCTAAATTAATGATGAACACAGTTCAATGCCACCATATCTAAATTAATGATGAACACAGTTCAATGCCATCATATCTAAATTCATGATGAAACTGTTCAATGCCACCATATCTAAATTAATTATGAAAACAGTTCAATGCCACCATACCTAAATTAATAATTAAAACAGTTCAATGCCACCATACCTAAATTAATGATGAAAACAGTTCAATGCCACCATACCCAAATTAATTATTAAAACAGTTCAATGCCACCATACCTAAATTAATTATGAACACAGTTCAATGCCACCATACCTAAATAATGATGAAAACAGTTCAATGCCACCATACCCAAATTAATGATTAAAACAGTTCAATGCCACCATACCTAAATTAATTATGAACACAGTTCAATGCCCCCATACCTAAATTAATGATGAACAAAGTTCAATGCCATCATACCTAAATTAATGATGAACACAATTCAATGCCATCATACCTCAATTAATTATGAACACAGTTCAATGCCATAATACATAAATTAATTATGAACGCAGTTCAATGCAACCATACCTAAATCAATGATAAACAGTTCAATGCCCCCATCCCTAAATTAATGATGAACACAATTCAATGCCACCTTACCTAAATTAATGATGATCACAGTTCTGTAATAACAGCTATCATTATCTATTATCACTTGAAAGTATTAGCTTGGTCCACCTCATCCACACATGTCAAATGTTTACTGGAAGGCACAGCGATTTGAACCTGGATGGGTGGCCTACCGTGATTGGTGGAGGTGTTGGGGCGGGTTCCTCATAAGTGTAATTGCTGTTGACATAGGTCCGCACGAATGGTGAGGTCTTGGGGGAAGACAGAGACACATTTGCATAAGCTAAACATATAGAGTGCATCCGGAAAGTATTCAGACCCCTTGACTTTTTCCACATTTTGATACGTTACAGCCTTATTCTAAAATGTATTCAATTACTTTTTTCCCTCATCAATCTACACACAATACCCCATAATGACAAAGCAAAAACTGTTTTTATTTTATTTTATATTTACATAAGTATTCTATGAGACTCGAAATTGAGTTCAAGTGCATCCTGTTCCCATTGATTGGAGTCCACCTGTGGTAAATTCAATTGATTGGACATGATTTGGAAAGGCACACACCTGTCTATATAAGGTCCCTCAAGTGACAGTGCATGTCAGAGCAAAAACCAAGCCACGAAGTCGAAGGAATTGTCCATAGAGCTCAGAGACAGGATTGTGTCGAGGCACAGATCTGGGGAAGGGTACCAAAACATTTCTCCAGCCTTGAAGGTCCCTAAGAACACAGTGGCCTCCATCATTCTTAAATGGAAGAAGTTTGGAACCACCAAGACTCTTCCTCGAGCTGGCCGCCCAGCCAAACGGAGCAATCGGGGGAGAAGGGCCTTGGTCAGGGAGGTGACCAAGAACCCGATGGTCACTCTGACAGAGCTCCAGAGGTCCTCTGTGGAGATGGGAGAACCTTTCAGAAGGACAACCATCTCTGCAGCACTCCACCAGTCAGCCCTTTATGGTAGAGTGGCCAGACGGAAGCCACTCCTCAGTAAAAGGCACATGACAGCCCGCTTGGAGTTTGCCACAAGGCACCTAAAGACTCTCAGACTATGAGAAACAAGATTCTCTGGTTTGATGAAACCAAGATTGAACCCTTTGGCCTGAATGCCAAGCGTCACGTCTGGAGGAAACCTGGCACCATCCCTACGGTGAAGCATGGTGGTGGCAGCATCATGCTGTGGGGATGTTTCTCAGCGGCAGGGACTGGGAGACTAGTCAGGATCAAGGTAAAGATGAACAGAGCAAAGTACAGAGAGATCCTTGATGAAAACCTGCTCCAGAGCGCTCAGGACTTCAGACTGGGGCAAAGGTTCACCTTCCAACAGGACAATGACCCTAAGCACACAGCCAAGACAACGCAAGAGTGGCTTCGGGACAAGTCTCTAAATGTCCTTGAGTGGCCCAGCCAGAGCCTGTACTTGAACCCGATTGAACATCTCTGGAGAGACCTGAAAATAGCTGTGCAGCGACGCTCCCCATCCAACCTGACAGCGCTTGAGAGGATCTGCAGAGAAGAATGGGAGAAACTCCCTAATATACAGGTGTGCCAAGCTTGTAGTGTTATACCCAAGAAGACTCAAGGCGTTCATTGCTGCCAAAGGTGCTTCAACAAAGTACTGAGTAAAGGGTCTGAATACTTATGTAAATGTGATATTTCAGTTTTTTATTTTTAATACATTTGGCTACAATTTATAAAAAACCTGTTTTTGCTTTATCATTATGGGGTATTTGGTGTAGATTGATGAGGGGGGAAAAAACTATGTAATACATTTTAGAATAAGGCTGTAACGTAACAAAATGTGGAAAAAGTCAAGGGGTCTGAATACTTTCAGATGGCACTGTAATACTATCAACACTTAATATTCATTAATTGACCTACGTTCATATCGCACTCTTCTCTGTAAAACCCCACAAGAGTGATCAAAATATAGTCAGTTAACGGTATGAAGTAACGTGAAGACGACACAGTACTTCTGTAGACATGTTGAGCCATAAGACTGTACCTTAGATGGGCAGTTGACAGGGATACCATCATCAAAGTACAGTTGGACAGTCTTCTTGCCCAGAGGCTCCAGCTAAGGGAATACATCTCAGTGAATTCAAAAGAACTTGGGTGATGGTAAGATATCCTGGATATCAACTGAATGTGTCATTTTTGTCACTCAGTGGTAACACAGTGTTGTGCTTTGGGTAGTAACAGTCAGAGCCATACATACAGTATACACACACACACACACACACACACACACACACACACACACACACACACACACACAAACATACACACATACACACACACACACACACACATCTATAGACATACACAAACACACATATAAATATATACACACACACACATACACTCACACACACACACACACACACACACACACACACACATATACATACACACATACACATAAATTATATACACACACACACATAAATACACACACACACACACACACATACACACACACATACTCATTCAAGGGTTTTTATTTATTTTTACTATTTACTACATTGTAGAATAATAGTGAAGACATCAAAACTATGAAATAACACATATGGAATCATGTAGTAACCAAAAAGGTGTTAAACAAATCAAAATACACTGCTCATGTAACTCCAAGTCAATCCCACTTCTGTGAAATCAAACTGTCCACTTAGGAAGCAACACTGATTGTCACGCCCTGGCTCTGGGGACTCTTTAATGTTGAGCCAGGGTGTTAGTTCCTATGTTTAGTTGTTCCTTGTTTTCTGTCTAGATCGTTTAGATCTATGTTGGCCAGGGTGGTTCCCGATCAGAGGCAGCTGTTGCTCGTTGTCTCTGATTGGGAACCATACTTAGGCAGCCTGTTTTGAACAGTTGATTGTGGGATCTTGTTCTGTATAGGTTTGTGTTAGTGAACCTTTAGACTTCACGTATCGTTTTGTTGTTTTGTTGTTGGTGTAAAGTACTCATTAAAAGATGTACGCCTATCACGCTGCGCCTTGGTCTGCCTCTTACAACGACCGAGACAGAAGATCCCACCCTTATAGGACCAAGCAGCGTATGCAGGAGCAAACGCCGGGTATGGAACAAGAGGTTACTCTGGTAGATGTCCTCCTCGGTTGGGGGAGAATCACAGACGAGGAGGCCGTCCACTACCGGAGGGCGATGAGGGAGGATGCCCAGGCAGGAGAGGAGAAGCGGCGCCTACCGGGCCATCGTCGGACAGGCGAGAGGCAACCCCAAGACATTTTTTAGGGGGGGCACACGGCATGGACGACGGGGCTGCTGGAGGCAGCTACAGGGCGAGTTTGCGGACTAGGAGAGGAGGCCACCAGGTTACGGGGGCCATTGGTCATGAGGGGGAAGGAGAGTGTAGAGGCACGGCGAGAGGTACTGGGGTGTGTTACCAGTCCGGTCCGGCCCGTTCCTGATCCCCGCACAAGGCCAGTGGTGTGTGTTCCCAGTACGGTCCGGCCTGTTCCTGTCCCTCGCACCAAGCCTGTGGTGCGCATCGCCAGCCCGGTCCGGCCCGTTCCTGCTCCCCGCACCAAGCCTGTGGTGCGCGTCGCCAGCCCGGTCCGGCCTGTTCCTGCTCCCCGCACCAGGCCAGGGGTGCGCGTCGCCAGTCCGGCCCGGCCTGTCCCTGTCCCTCGCACCAAGTCAGTGGTGCGTGTCGCCAGCCTGGTCCGGCCTGTTCCTGCTCCCCGCACCAAGCCAGTGGTGCGCGTCGTCAGCCTGGTCCGGCCCGTTCCTGCCCCTCGCACCAAGCCAGTGGTGCGCGTCTTCAGCCCGGTCCGGCCTGTTCCTGCTCCCCGCACCAACCAAGCCAGTGGTGCGCGTCGTCAGCCCGGTCCGGCCTGTTCCTGCTCCCCGCACCAAGCCTGTGGTGCGCGTCGTCAGCCCGGTCCGGCCTGTTCCTGCTCCCCGCACCAAGCCTGTGGTGCGCGTCGTCAGCCCGGTCCGGCCTGTTCCTGCTCCCCGCACCAAGTCAGTGGTGCGCGTCGCCAGCCCGGTCCGGCCTGTTCCTGCTCCCCGCACCAAGCCAGTGGTGCGCGTCGTCAGCCCGGTCCGGCCTGTTCCTGCTCCCCGCACCAAGCCAGTGGTGCGCGTCGTCAGCCCGGTCCGGCCCGTTCCTGCTCCCCGCACCAAGTCAGTGGTGCGCGTCGTCAGCCCGGTCCGGCCTGTTCCTGCTCCCCGCACCAAGCCAGTGGTGCGCGTCGTCAGCCCGGTCCGGCCCGTTCCTGCTCCCCGCACCAAGCCAGTGGTGCGTGTCGTCAGCCCGGTCCGGCCTGTTCCTGCTCCCCGCACCAAGCCAGTGGTGCGCGTCGTCAGCCCGGTCCGGCCCGTTCCTGCTCCCCGCACCAAGCCAGTGGTGCGCGTCGCCAGCCCGGTCCGGCCCGTTCCTGCTCCCCGCACCAAGACAGTGGTGCGCGTCATCAGTCCGGCACAGCCCGTGCCTGTTCCACCGGTGCCTGGTCAGGTACCGGTCAGCTGCTCCACGCCGGAGCCAGAGCAATCCGCTCCACCAGTGTTCAGTCCAGCTCCGGCCAGCAGGGCCAGACCACGAGGGCGAGAGAGAGAGTGGTGGTCACGCCCGGAGCCGGATCCGCCTCCGAGGCGGAATGGCCACCCGGCCCCTCCCCTGTGGTGTTTGGTTGGCGCGGTCGCAGTCCGCGCCTTTGGGGGGGGGGGCGGGTACTGTCACGCCCTGGCTCTGGGAACTCTTTAATGTTGAGCCAGGGTGTTAGTTCCTATGTTTAGTTGTTCCTTGTTTTCTGTCTAGATCGTTTAGATCTATGTTGGCCAGGGTGGTTCCCGATCAGAGGCAGCTGTTGCTCGTTGTCTCTGATTGGGAACCATACTTAGGCAGCCTGTTTTGCTCAGTTGATTGTGGGATCTTGTTCTGTATAGGTTTGTGTTAGTGAACCTTTAGACTTCACGTATCGTTTTGTTGTTTTGTTGTTGGTGTAAAGTACTCATTAAAAGATGTACGCCTATCACGCTGCGCCTTGGTCTGCCTCTTACAACGATCGTGACACTGATTGACAATAAATGTCACATGCTGTTGTGCAAATGGAATAGACAACAGGTGGAAATTATAGGCAATTAGCAAGACACCCCCAATAAAGGACTGGTTTTGCAGGTGGTGACCACAGACCACTTCTCAGTTCCTATGCTTCCTGGTTGATGTTTTGGTCACTTTTGAATGCTAGCGGTGCTTTCACTTTAGTGGTAGCATGAGACGGAGTCTACAACCCACACAAGTGGCTCAGGTAGTGCAGCTCATCCAGGATGGCACATCAATGCAAGCTGTGGCAAGAAGGTTTGCTGTGTCTGTCAGCGTAGTGTCCAGAGCATGGAGGCGCTACCAGGAGACAGGCCAGTACATCAGGAGACGTGGAGGAGGCCGTAGGAGGGCAACAACCCAGCAGCAGGACTGCTACCTCCGCCTTTGTGCAAGGAGGAGCAGGAGGAGCACTGCCAGAGCCCTGCAAAATGACCTCCAGCAGGCCACAAATGTGCATGTGTCTGCTCAAACGGTCAGAAACAGACTCCATGAGGGTGGTATGAGGGCCCGACGTCCACAGGTGGGGGTTGTGCTTACAGCCCAACACCGTGCAGGACGTTTGGCAAATTCGCCACTGGCGCCCTGTGCTCTTCACAGATGAAAGCAGGTTCACCCTGAGCACATGTGACAGACGTGACAGAGGCTGGAGACGCCGTGGGGAACATTCTGCTGCCTGCAACATCCTCCAGCATGACCGGTTTGGCGATGGGTCAGTCATGGTGTGGGGTGGCATTTCTTTGGTGGGCCGCACAACCCTCCATTTGCTCGCCAGAGGTAGCCTGACTGCCATTAGGTACCGAGATGAGATCCTCAGACCCCTTGTGAGACCATATGCTGGTGCGGTTGGCCCTGGGTTCCTCCTAATGCAAGACAATGCTTGACCTCATGTGGCTGGAGTGTGTCAGCAGTTCCTGCAAGAGGAAGGCATTGATGCTATGGACTGGCCCGCCCGTTCCCCAGACCTGAATCCAATTGAGCACATCTGGGACATCATGTCTCGCTCCATCCACCAACGCCACGTTGCACCACAGACTGTCCAGGAGTTGGCGGATGCTTTAGTCCAGGTCTGGGAGGAGATCCCTCAGGAGACCATCCGCCACCTCATCAGGAGCATGCCAAGGTGTTGTAGGGAGGTCATACAGGCACGTGGAGGCCACACACACTACTGAGCCTCATTTTGACTTGTTTTAAGGACATTACATAAAAGTTGAATCAGCCTGTAGTGTGGTTTTCCACTTTAATTTTGAGGGTGACTCCAAATCCAGACCTCCATGGGTTGATAAATTTGATTTCCATTGATAATTTTTGTGTGAATTTGTTGTCAGCACATTCAACTATGTAAAGAAAAAAGTATTTAATAAGATTATTTCATTCATTCAGATCTAGGATGTGTTATTTTAGTGTTCCCTTTATTTTTTTGAGCAGTGTATATTTTATATTTGAGATTCTTCAAAGTAGCCACCCTTTGCCTTGATGACAGCTTCGCACACTCTTGGCATTCTCTCAACCAGCTTCACCTGGAATGCTTTTCCAACAGTCTTGAAGGAGTTCCTACATATGCTGAGCACTTGTTGGCTGCTTTTCCTTCACTCTGCGGTCCAACTTATCCCAAACCATCTCAACTGGATTGAGGTTGGGTGATTGTGGAGGCCAGGTCATCTGATGCAGCTCTCCTTAAATTACTACTGTTGAAAAACAAATGATAGTCCCACTATGCCCAAACCAGATGGGATGGCATATCGCTGCAGAATGCTGTGGTAGCCATGCTGGTTAAATTGTGCCTTGAATTCTCCTCTTCATTCTTCACAGTGGGAACTACACATGCGGAGATCATCCGTTCACCTACTCTGCGTCTCACAAAGACACGGCAGTTGGAACCAAAACTCTCAAATTTGGACTCATCAGACCAAAGGACAGATTTCCACCGGTCTAATGTCCGTTGCTCGTGTTTCTTTGCCCAAGCAAGTCTCTTCTTCTTATTGGTGTCCTTTAGTAGTGGTTTCTTTGCAGCAATTCGCCATGAAGGCCTAATTCACTCAGTCTCCTCTGAACAGTTGATGTTGAGATGTGTCTGTTACTTGAACTCTGTGAAGCATTTATTTGGGCTGCAATTTCTGAGGCTGGTAACTCTAATTAACTTATCCTCTGCAGCAGAGGTAACTCTGGCTCTTCATTTCCTGTGGCGGTCCTCATGAGAGCCAGTTTCATCATAGCACTTGATGGTTTTTGCGACTGCACTTGAAGAAACTTTAAAAGTTCTTGAAATGTTCCGTATTGACTGACCTTCATGTCTTACAGTAATTATGGACTGTCGTTTCTCTTTGCTTATTTGAGCTGTTCTTGCCATAATATGGACTTGGTCTTTTACCAAATAGGGCTATCTTCTGTATACCACCCCTACCTTGTCACAACACATCTGATTGGCTCAAACGCATTAAGAAGGAAATAAATTCCACAAATTAACTTTTAATAATGCACACCTGTTAATTGAAATGCATTCCAGGTGACTACCTCATGAAGCTGGTTGAGAGAATGCCAAGAGTGTGCAAAGCTGTCATCAAGACAAAGGATGGCATTATATATTTTGATTTGTTTAACACCTTTTTGGTTACTACCTGATTCCATATGTGTTATTTCATAGTTTTGATGTCTTCACTATTATTCTACAATGTAGAAAATAGTAAAAATAAAGAAAAAGCCTTGAATGAGTAGGTGTTCTAAAACTTTGACTGGTACTGTATGTATATACACACACACACACACACACACACACACACACACACACACACACACACACACACACACACATACACACACACACATCTACATATGACATGTCACATGTGTTTTTGGCATGTCAGGCTCTATATAATATATAGATGGATATATTGTGACAGTGTTATTGAGTCTCACCATGTTATTCCAGAGAGCGCGGGCCATCAGAGTATGGGACTTCTGACTGAGATGGAAGCAGTCAGGACTGAAGTAAGTACGGTCTGGACGTCCGTCCTGTGTGTGAGACAGAGGGGACAGTTTGTGTGTGTGAGTGTGAGGGTGTGTGTGTGTGTGTTTGTGTGAGGGTGTGTGTATGTGTGTGTTTGTGTGAGTGTGTGTGTGTGTGTGTGTGTGTGTGTGTGTGTGTGTGTGTGTGTGTGTGTGTGTGTGTGTGTGTGTGTGTGTGTGTGTGTGTGTGTGTGTGTGTGTGTATGTGCGTGTGTGCGAGTATGCGAGTGAGTGTGTGTGTGTCAGCGTGTGGCACCATGAAAGGGCATTGGCATCACACAGATCGATCAGTTAATCTATTGTTGATTCACAGTCAAGACGAGTGACAATGCAGTGTGCCTAACCTCTGTCTGGGGAACGACGATGTCTCGTAGGAAAGGCTGCAGAACCACCGTGAAGTTGTTATGAGTGTCGTACCGTCCTGACTCCACAAGCTCATGCAGTCCACGCTGAAAGAGGTACAGTTTGTTTTTGTTATTGGTCATTAATCATCACACACTATAGTATTTACCATAGAGTCAAGTATAATATTGTGGTCCCACATACACTGCAGAATTAGTCTTTGCCATACCTGATAATCTCTGTTCAGACCATCGAGTTGATGAAGTGCTACGGAGCCTTCCTTTGGTGAGATGACACAGGGACACAGAATACTGAAGGAGAGACACAAGATCAGATGTTATTGATCTAGATTTCAGAGATCGGGTGTTATTGATCTAGATTTCAGAGATCGGGTGTTATTGAGCTAGATTTCAGAGATCAGGTGTTATTGAGCTAGATTTCAGAGATCAGGTGTTATTGATCTAGACTTCAGAGATCAGGTGTTATTGATCTAGATTTCAGAGATCAGGTGTTATTGATCAAGACTTCAGAGATCAGGTGTTATTGATCTAGATTTCAGAGATCAGGTGTTATTGATCTAGACTTCAGAGATCAGGTGTTATTGATCGAGACTTCAGAGATCAGGTGTTATTTATCTAGATTTCAGAGATCAGATGTTATTGATAGAGACTTCAGAGATCCATTGGCACATTGCCCTCCATATGGCAAATATATGAAAGTTGTGGCTTGATGAAGAGGATTACAGATAGGCTCCATCTTGATTCAAAGTGTGCACTTGCACATTCCCCGTCATTGATTTTACAATGGGGAAAACTCCCTCTGGCAAATGCTCTAGTTAGATTCTCTACCTGCAGGGACGGACACTTACTTGACAAGCCAGGTAGGGCACTTGAGATCTGCATTTAAGTCTGTGTGCATCTGTCTCAGGACAGGGATGTAGAGAGGCTCCACCAGATTGACCAGGGCCCTCGGCACCTGAGAGAGAGAGAGAGAGAGAGAGAGAGAGAGAGAGAGAGAGAGAGAGAGAGAGAGGGAGAGAGAGAGAAAGAGAGATATAGAGAGAGAGACATAAACAGACAGAGAGAGAGAGAGAGAGAGAGAGAGAGAGAGAGAGAGAGAGAGAGAGAGAGAGAGAGAGAGAGGAGAGAGAGAGAGAGAGAGAGAGAGAGAGAGAGAGAGAGAGAGCGAGAGAGAGAGAGAGAGAGGGAAAGATTTGACTATGTACAGACTCAGTGAGCATAGCCTTGCTATTGAGAAAGGCCGCCGTAGGCAGACCTGGCTCTCAAGAGAAGACAGGCTATGTGCACACTGCCCACAAAATGAGGTGGAAACTGAGCTGCACTTCCTAACCTCCTGCCAAATGTATGACCATATTAGAGACACATATTTCCCTCAGATTACAGCGATCCACAAAGAATTAGAAAACAAACCCAATTTTGATAAACTCCCTTATCTACTGGGTGAAAAACCACAGTGTGCCATCACAGCTGCAAGATTTGTGACCTGTTGCCACAAGAAAAGGGCAACCAGTGAAGAACAAACACCATTGTAAATACAACCCATTTTTATGTTTATTTATTTTCCCATTTGTACTTTAACTATTTGCACATTGTTACAACACTGTATATATACATAATATGACATTTGAAATGTCTTTATTCTTTTGAAACTTCTGAGTGTAATGTTTACTGTTAATATTTATTGTTTATTTCACTTTTGTTTACTATCTTCTTCACTTGCTTTGGCAATGTTAACACATGTTTCCCATGCCAATAAAGCCCTTAAATTGAATTGAAATTGAAATTGAAATTGAATTGAGAGAGAGAGAGAGAGAGAGAGAGAGAGAGAGAGAGAGAAAGAAATAGAGGACATACACAAGCCACAGATTGTACTCCTTATGGACTCAAACGGGAAATACATACAAGAAAATAAACTTTTTCCCAAACACACAGTGTCTAAACTCTGGTGTCTAAACACCCAGCGTGCCCTAGACCTTCTGTCTGAGGACCGACTAGGGTCACCCAGCAACATAATAATACAAACAGGCACAAACGACCTGAGAGCACAGCAGGATAGGGTGGCCACATCACTCAAGGGAGTGATTGAAAAAGCTAAAGGACATTGCCCTAAACCGCAGCCCCAACACCTCACACAGGATCAACAGACACCTCGCCCAGACCAGTGAGACACTCTCCCAAACGTGCAGGACCCCCCCCCCCCCCCCCCCCCCCCCCGGACCTACACATAGAGGACCTACATCCAGACCACAGCACCACCAGCCACATCCACACCCCCACCCAATCAACACCCCCCCAAGTCAACCATGCCCACACCCCATTTAGGCCCCCTCAGATCAGACCTATGCCCCTCCTGCCCACCCCATGCCCCCCACTCCCGCAAAGAGGGCCTCAACATGAAAGTCACACATACGCCCAGGCCGTGAGCAGGCAAACAGGCCCAACACCCACTCTTACACTAGCCCAAGCCAATGGCATGTACCAGATGCTCAGCAGGCTCTGCTCACACGTACTGGTCTGAGGCCAAACCACACGACTAACAACATTGGACACTTTATGGAGCACAAAGCCTCATCCTGGAATATCCAAGGCTTGAGGTCATCTGCCTTTGGCCTAAAGAGCAGGAACCTGGACTTAACCAAATAAATCAGAAATACAGACATTGTCATCCTACAAGAAACATGGTATAGAGGAGATGGACCCACTGGTTGCCCTCTAGGTTACAGAGAGCTGGTAGACCCATCCAACAAACTACCAGGTGTGAAACAGGGAAGGGACTCAGGGGGTATTCTAATTTGGTATAGAACAGACCTAACTAACTCTATTCAATTAATCAAAACAGGAACATTTTACATTTGCTAGAAATTCAAAAGGAAATGATCTCAACAGAGAAAAATGTCCTCCTGTGTGCTACCTATATCCCCCCACTAGAATCCCCATACTTTAATGAAGACAGCTTCTCTATCCTGGAGGGGAAATCAATCATTTCCAGGCCCAGGGACGTGCTAGTCTGTGGCGACCTAAATGCCAGAACTGGACAAGAACCTGACACCCTCAACACACAGGGGGACAAACACATACCTGGAGGTGACAGCATTCCCTCCCCCATATGCCCCCCTAGGCACAACTACGACAACATAACCAACAGAAACGGGTCACAACTCCTGCAGCTCTGTCGCACACTGGTTATGTACATAGTCAATGGTAGGCTTCGAGGGAACTCCTATGGTAGGTACACCTATAGCTCATCTCTTGGCAGTAGTACTGTAGGCTACTTTATCACTGACCTCAACCCAGAGTCTCTCAGAGCATTCACAGTCAGCCCACTGACACCCCTGTCAGATCACAGCAAAATCACAGTCTACTTGAACAGAGCAATACTCAATCATGAGGCATCAAAGCCAAAGGAACTGAATAATATTAAGATATGCTATAGATGGATGGAAAGTAGTGTGGAAAACTACCAAAAAACAATTAGGCAACAACAAATATAATCCCTTTTAGACAACTTTCTGGACAAAATGTTTCACTGTAATAGTGAAGGTGTAAACTTGGCAGTAGAAAACCTAAACAGCATATTTGACCTCTCAGCTTCCCTATAAAATCAAAAAAAATTTAAACAGAAAACCAAAGAAAATTAACAACAGTGACAAATGGTTTGATGAAGAATTCAAAAACCTAAGAAAGAAATTGAGAAACCTATCCAACCAAAAACATAGAGACCCAGAAAACCTGAGCCTACGCCTTCACTATGGTGAATCACTAAAACAATAAAGAAATACACTATGGAAAAAGAAGAACAGCACGTCTGAAATCAGCTCATTGTAATTGAAGAATCCATAGACACTTCTGGGAAAATTGGAAAACACTAAACAAACAACAGCACAAAGAATGATCTATCCAAAACGGAGATGTATGGGTAAACCACTTCTCCAGTCTTTTTGGCCCTATAACAAAAAACAAACAGCAAAAACATATACATGATCAAATACAAATCTTAGAATCAACTATTAAAGACTACCAGAACCCACTGGATTCTCCAATTACATTGAATGAACTACAAGACAAAATACAAACCCTCCAACCCAAAAAGGCCTGTGGTGTTGATGGTATCCTCAATGAAATGATAAAATATACAGACCACAAATTCCAATTGGCTATACTTAAACTGTTTAACATCATCCTTAGCTCTGGCATCTTCCCCAATATTTGGAACGAAGGACTGAACAAATTTGACCCGAATAACTATCGTGGGACATACGTCAACAGCAACCTTGGGAAAATCCTCTGCGTTATCATTAACAGCAGACTCGTACATTTCCTCAGTGAAAACAATGTACTGAGAAAATATCAAATTGGCTTTTTACCAAATTACCGTACGACAGACCACGTATTCACCCTGCAATCCCTAATTGACAAACAAACAAAACAAAGGCAAAGTCTTCTCATGCTTTGTTGATTTCAAAACAGCTTTTGACTCAATTTGGCATGAGGATCTGCTATACAAATTGATGGAAAGTGGTGTTGGGGGAAAAACATACGACATTGTAAAATCCATGTACTCAAACAACAAGTGTGCGTTAAAAATTGGCAAAAACAAACACACATTTCTTTCCACAGGGCCGTGGGGAGAGACAGGGATGCAGCTTAAGCCCCACCCTATTCAACATATATATCAACAAATTGGCGAGGGCACTAGAAAAGTCTGCATCACCCAGCCTCACCCTACTAGAATCTGAAGTCAAATGTATACTGTTTGCTGATGATCTGGTGCTTCTGTCCCCAAGCAAGGAGGGCCTACAGCAGCACCTAGATCTTCTGCACAGATTCTGTCAGACCTGGGCCCTGACAGTAAATCTCAGTAAGACAAAAATAATGGTGTTCCAAAAAAGGTCCAGTTGACAGGACCACAAATACAAATTCCATCTAGACACTGTTGCCCTAGAGCACACAAAAAACTATACATATCTTGGCATAAACATCAGCGCCACAGGTAACTTCCACAAAGCTGTGAACGATCTGAGAGACATGGCAAGAAGGGCCTTCTAAGCCATCAAAAGGAACATACAATTCCACATACTAATTAGGATCTGGATAAAATGCTTGAATCAGTTATAGAACCCATTGCCCTTTATAGTTGTGAGGTCTGGGGTCCGCTCACCAACCAAGAATTCACAAAATGGGACAAACATCAAATTGAGACTCTGCATGCAGAATTCTGCAACAATATCCTCCATGTACAATGTAAAACCCCAAATAATGCATGCAGAGCATACCCGCTAATGATCAAAATCCAGAAAAGGCCGTTAAATTCTACAACTACCTAAAAGGCAGCGATTCCCAAACCTTCCATAACAAAGCCATCAACTACAGAGAGATGATCCTGGAGAAGAGTCCCCTAAGCAAGCTGGTCCTGGGGCTCTGTTCACAAACACAAAAAGACCCCACAGAGCCCCAGGACAGCAACACAGTTAGACCCAGCCAAATCATGACAAAACAAAAAGATAATTACTTGAAACATTGGAAAGAATTAACAGAAAAACTGAGCAAACTAGAATGCTATTTGGCCCTAAACAGAGAGTACACAGTGGCAGAATACCTGACCACTGTGACTGACCCAAACTTAAGGAAAGCTTTGACTATGTACAGACTCAGTGAGCATAGCCTTGCTATTGAGAAAGGCCACTGTAGGCAGACCTGGCTCTCAAGAGAAGACAGGCTGTGTGCACTGCCCACAGAATAAGGTGGAAACTGAGCTGCACTTCCTAACTTCCTGACAAATGTATGACCATTTAGACACACATACCTCCCTCAGATTACACAGACCCACAAATAATTCGAAAACAAATCCGATTTGGATAAACTCCCATATATATTGGGTGAAATACCACAGTGTGCAATTAAAGCAGCAATATTTGTGACATGCTGCCACAAGAAAAGGGCAACCAGTGAAGAACAAACACCATAAATAAACTCAGCAATAAAAGAAACATCAGCTGCATTAAGTACTGCAGTGCATCTCCTCCTCATGGACTGCACCAGATTTGCCAGTTCTTGCTGTGAGATGTTACCCCACTCTTTCACCAAGGCACCTGCAAGTTCCCGGACATTTCTGGGGGGAATGGCCCTAGCCCTCACCCTCCGATCCAACAGGTCCCAGACGTGCTCAATGGGATTGAGATCCGGGCTCTTCGCTGGCCATGGCAGAACAATGACATTCCTGTCTTGCAGGAAATCCCGCACAGAACGAGCAGTATGGCTGGTGGCATTGTCATGCTGGAGGGTCATGTCAGGATGAGCCTGCAGGAAGAGTACCACATGAGGGAGGAGGATGTCTTCCCTGTAACGCACAGCATTGAGATTGCCTGCAATGACAACAAGCTCAGTCCGATGATGCTGTGACACACCGCCCCAGACCATGACGGACCCTCCACCTCCAAATTGATCCCGCTCCAGAGTACAGGCCTCGGTATAATGCTGATTCCTTCGACGATAAACGCGAATCCGACCATCACCCCTGGTGAGACAAAATCACGACTCGTCAGTGAAGAGCACTTTTTGCCAGTCCTGTCTGGTCCAGCGACGGTGGGTTTGAGCCCATAGGTGACGTTGTTGCCGGTGATGTCTGGTGAGGACCTGCCTTACAACAGGCCTACAAGCCCTCAGGTGAGCCTCTCTCAGCCTATTGCGGACAGTCTGAGCACTGATGGAGGGATTGTGCATTCCTGGTGTAACTCGGGCAGTTGTTGTTGCCATCCTGTACCTGTCCCGCAAGTGTGATGTTCGGATGTACCGATCCTGTGCAGGTGTTGTTACACGTGGTCTGCCACTGCGAGGACGATTAGCTGTCCGTCCTGTCTCCCTGTAGCGCTGTCTTAGGTGTCTCACAGTACGGACATTGCAATTTACTGCCCTGGCCACATCTGCAGTCCTCATGCCTCCTTGCCGCATGCCTGAGGCACGTTCACGCAGATGAGAAGGGACCCTGGGCATCTTTCTTTTGGTGTTTTTTAGAGTCAGTAGAAAGGCCTCTATAGTGTCCTAAGTTTTCATAACTGTGACCTTAATTGCCTACCGTCTGTAAGCTGTTAGTGTCTTAATGACCGTTCCACAGGTGCATGTTCATTAATTGTTTATGGTTCATTGAACAAGCATGGGAAACAGTGTTTAAACCCTTTACAATGAAGATCTGTGAAGTTATTTGGATTTTTACGAATTATCTTTGAAAGACAGGGTCCTGATTTATTTGCTGAGTTTACAACCTACATTTATGTTTATTTATTTTCCTTTTTGTACTTTAACTATTTGCACATCATTACAACACTGTATATAGACATAATATGACATTTGAAATGTCTTTATTCTTTTTGAACTTTTGTGAGTGTATTGTTTACTGTAAAACATTTATATTGTTTAATTCACTTTTTTTTAATCATCTATTTCACTTGCTTTGGCAATGTAAACATACATTTCCCATGCCAATAAAACCCCTTAAATTGAATTGAATTGAGAGATAGAAGGACAAAGAGATAGAGAGAGAAATAACGTTTTAGAAATTAAAAAAAGAAATTGAAAACAGAGAAAAGCATGTGCTATCTGGTAGGATTAGGCCTACAGCTCCTACCTGTTTATGAAGGTAATCCAGAGACTCACGAATGTGTCGCACATAGTTGTCTGTGGAGTAAAACAGCTGTGGGACAATAAAAGGTAGCGACAGTCAGAGAACTGGAACATGCACATCCAGTACAGTATCACTGCAGACAGAGTTCTTAGAGGAGGTCACGACACAGAATGGTATCTCATTGTATCTTATTGTGTTGTAACGTATACACATAGTATTGGTACTCACAGAGTTGTAGCAGTAGTCACACATGTCATTGCCTCCAATGAACAAAGTGATCACTTTCCAGTCTTCTTGGAAATGAATGCGCTGTGTAAGAGGACATGTTCACATAATGTGAGCTTGTGTGTTATATCAATCTATGTGTGGTAGACAAACAAAATTAGATTCAAATATAATTCAGGATAGTCGCTAACCGAGTCATTCTTCATCCTGGCAACCAATGCTCGCACTTGTTCTGGTATGTCTCTTCAAAACAAACACAGACAATCCAACATCACTATTCAGCGAATAAAGACTACAAAACATATTCAGTACAAAACATATTCAGTACATATTCAGTAAAACATAGTCAGTCAGAGAGGCAGGTATGTCTGGATAGAAGAGTATCATATGGACTGGTGATGGGACTCACTTGGCTTTTCCCCCGGCCACAGCCTGGTTGAGGAAGGCCTGAGGGGTGTGCTCTTTGCCTTTGCCCACTGAGAAGCCGGTCAGGGAGGGGTTAAACTCACGCAGGATATCTGAGCAGCAGCACAAAAGAAAACAACATATCAGTCCAACCTGGACACATTGATAATGATACATATAGGAGAACAGTATTTTTCTTACTTAAGGTACATGTGTGAATGTGAATTCCAGCATTTTAGCAATATTTTGGCAACATTTTGGCTACACGAGTAGCCTGATAACTAATACAAGATGACAGCGTCAAGAAGGAGACTCACTGGGAAGAGTGGTGACAGTGGTGAGGTTCTCGTCTCCACCGACACTGAGAAACACAAAGACAGAATATAGACTGGTTAGGGATGCCAACCATATAGATTATACCTCTACCTCCAGGTAACCCACAGCACAGGAAGATGAACTGACATTGACACTGCACTCTGTACTATTGTGTTATTGCAGGGGTGATAAGGACACTTTATGACAGGGATCATTAACTAGATTCAGCCGTGGGCCGATTTTTTTGTGAGCGGATGATCGGGGGGCCGTAACATAATTACAAATCATTTGTAGACTGCAATTTGATCGCAAGCATCACAAACAGATATAATATTTGACAAAAACATTATCATTTCAAACCTTGCTTACATTTGTATACGATCACATGTCTCTCTATTATGCGTGGGAATACTTGGGAACAGATTTCCTAAATAAAAATAACTGGTGTTTTTACAGACTTTTATGTCCAACAAGGAATTTATTTTGGTTTTCTTTCCTCAGAAAACTTGTGGGGCCAAATAAAACCACCCAGGGGCCAAATTCGGCCAGCGGGCCACCAGTTGGGGAACCCTGCCTTATGATAAGGACCCACCTCCATGATAAACCCCGGTATTGCGTCGTAACATCCAGTAGATTGTTAACGTTGGATCCCGATCCGATACCGTTGCCCGCCTGCCGACCAGTCAAAGAGAGTGTTATAGAGATAGCAATAGCATGAGTTTAATAATACAGATAGCAATCACATATGATGAGGTGACAGCCCTACAACTGGGTAATGTAGATTAGTCCACCGTATGTAAAGTAACTCAATCATGTACTACTACAGATAAAAGGTAAACAAGGAACAGGTGACTTACTGTCAGAGAGTCTCCCACTGCAGCTACTACTTTGATATCGCCAGGGCGGAGGGCATGAACTGTGAACGCATAGAAGATGGATCAGGTGATGAGAATGGCGTGAGGCAAACTTTATCCAGGTAGACCCTAAGAAACCAACTGACATCTATCTGTCCGTTCTCTAAAAGTTTCATGTTCCATAATACAGTAAGATCAGGGGATACTGCCTCTATTTCAACAAATAACTCTAAAAACTGCATACTGTATACTGTATATTGAGAGGATTCCTCTTACCTGAGGTGGGTGGGGAGTTGGAAGGGCTATGGTCCTCGCAGGGCATATGAGTGCCCATGATCTGATGACAAGACAAGCAGAGCACATCCAGAGTCATTACCATGTACAGTGGGGAAAAAAGGTATTTAGTCAGCCACCAATTGTGCAAGTTCTCCCACTTAAAAAGATGAGAGAGACCTGTAATTTTCATCACAGGTACATGTCAACTATGACAGACAAATTGAGATTTTTTTTTCCAGAAAATCACATTGTAGGATTTGTAATGAATTTATTTGCAAATTATGGTGGAAAATAAGTATTTGGTCACCTACAAACAAGCAAGATTTCTGGCTCTCACAGACCTGTAACTTCTTCTTTAAGAGGCTCCTCTGTCCTCCACTCGTTACCTGTATTAATGGCACCTGTTTGAACTTGTTATCAGTATAAAAGACACCTGTCCACAACCTCAAACAGTCACACTCCAAACTCCACTATGGCCAAGACCAAAGAGCTGTCAAAGGACACCAGAAACAAAATTGTAGACCTGCACCAGGCTGGGAAGACTGAATCTGCAATAGGTAAGCAGCTTGGTTTGAAGAAATCAACTGTGGGAGCAATTATTAGGAAATGGAAGACATACAAGACCACTGATAATCTCCCTCGATCTGGGGCTCCACGCAAGATCTCACCCCGTGGGGTCAAAATGATCACAAGAACGGTGAGCAAAAATCCCAGAACCACACGGGGGGACCTAGTGAATGACCTGCAGAGAGCTGGGACCAAAGTAACAAAGCCTACCATCAGTAACACACTACGCCGCCAGGGACTCAAATCCTGCAGTGCCAGACGTGTCCCCCTGCTTAAGCCAGTACATGTCCAGGCCCGTCTGAAGTTTGCTAGAGTGCATTTGGATGATCCAGAAGTGGATTGGGAGAATGTCATATGGTCAGATGAAACCAAAATATAACTTTTTGGTAAAAACTCAACTCGTCGTGTTTGGAGGACAAAGAATGCTGAGTTGCATCCAAAGAACACCATACCTACTGTGAAGCATGGGGGTGGAAACATCATGCTTTGGGGCTGTTTTTCTGCAAAGGGACCAGGACGACTGATCCGTGTAAAGGAAAGAATGACTGGGGCTATGTATCGTGAGATTTTGAGTGAAAACCTCCTTCCATCAGCAAGGGCATTGAAGATGAAACGTGGCTGGGTCTTTCAGCATGACAATGATCCCAAACACACCGCCCGGGCAACGAAGGAGTGGCTTCGTAAGAAGCATTTCAAGGTCCTGGAGTGGCCTAGCCAGTCTCCAGATCTCAACCCCATAGAAAATCTTTGGAGGGAGTTGAAAGTCTGTGTTGCCCAGCGACAGCCCCAAAACAACACTGCTCTAGAGGAGATCTGCATGGAGGAATGGGCCAAAATACCAGCAACAGTGTGTGAAAACCTTGTGAAGACTTACAGAAAATGTTTGACCTGTGTCATTGCCAACAAAGGGTATATAACAAAGTATTGAGAAACTTTTGTTATTGACCAAATACTTATTTTCCACCATAATTTGCAAATAAATTCATTAAAAATCCTACAATGTGATTTACTGGAAAAACATTTCTCATTTTGTCTGTCATAGTTGACGTGTACCTATGATGAAAATTACAGGCCTCTCTCATCTTTTTAAGTGGGAGAACTTGCACAATTGGTGGCTGACTAAATACTTTTTTCCCCCACTGTATAATGTGTACACAGACACCACAATGTGAAGGGCCCTACAGTACATTAGCCGTGATCAACAGGCCTGACAACAGTAACTCACAGGGTCAAGAAGAGGAGAGAGCTCATTGGTGTGATCTGAGGGAGAGTTTCGCTCTGTTCTCAAGAAAGGCCGGTCCTATGGGAGAGAGGGGGAGAGAGAGAGAGAGAGAGTGTGAGAGCGAGAAAGAGAGAGAGAGAGAGAGTGAGCGAGACAGAGAGAGAGAGAGACAGACAGAGAGGAGGACAGATTAATGTATAGAGGGTGGGAGATGAGGGTTAGTAGGGTTGTATAGATTCTTTCTCAGTGGTATAAATCATATCATAAACTGGGTGGTTCGAGCCCTGAATGCTGATTGGCGGGCATGACAAAATATTTATTTGTAATGCTCTAATTATGTTGGTAACCAGTTTATAATAGCAATAAGGCACCTTGGGGGTTTGTGATATATGTCCAATATACCACGGCTAAGGGCTGTATCCAGGCACTCCGTGTCGCGCCTAAGAACAGCCCTTAGCCATGGTATATTGGCCATATACCACACCCACTCGGTGATATTGCTTAATTATACTATATTGTGTGTTGAGACGTTTATCTGGAGTAGCTCACTGTAATGGGAATATTTAAGATGAATAAAGTTCATATTTAATTTAGAGTGATCAACACAATGTTTAGCATATTTGGAATTTCTGTAATACACATAATTGCCAGTATTCTATTTGTAACACTCAAGGTGCAGGTTGATGGTCACTAGACTTGTTATGGATTATTGTCATATCTGATGATCGTGGTTGACGCCAGACTGGAGGTCCAAGGACCAAGGACACACTGATTATTCACTGTCGCATTGATGGAATTCTATGAACACTGTGTGATTCTGTAGCAGCTTACAAAGTCACTGTCTCTCATGCTGGTGTTTACAGAACATTTGGTGCTGTCTGATTTTGATAGAAAGGGCCTGTCTCCAAGAGGCCAGTTAGACATTTGCTCTGCATGTGTCTCCCTGTTACAACGTGTAATAAACTGGATAGATTTTTGATTGACTTGTTCACCTGGAAATTCCTATTACACTCACATTCTATTCTATTAATCCCACAAATGTACTGTACGTGACAGATTTCAGGCCTGGATTCAAATAGTATTTGTTTTCTTTCAAATACCTTAGCTGCAGTTCATTGAGCTTGTCTGGTCCAATGGAACCAATGCATCAACCCCCAAGTGCAAACCCCACTCATCTGGCACTCCAGACAAGCTCAGTTAAACGCTTAAAGTATTTGAAAGAAAAACTAACCTAGGTCAGGTATGTGTTGGAGGCTTGCCGCACTCTCTCACCTCACTGGGGCATGGCACCGAGATGATCATATCATTGTCCTCCATGTTCTGCTGGCCTATGGTGGGCTGCAGCTGAAAAACAGAAGGAAAAACATTTTGAGTAAATTCTCCTTTGTTTGCCTCAACTAGGACTGAGAGCAGAGACAATGCCACAGTGTGTTAGCAGCATGGGTATTATGTGGTGTAACTCACCAAGTTGGCCCACATCTGTATGGCTAGTTTGTCTGTGTGTAATGCACCCGCTCTGGGGGCAGTGCTCTGTACACAGAAGAACATTTGTATTACACACACACACACACACACACACACACACACACACACACACACGCACGCACACACACCAATAACAAATAACAATTCAGCTCTGCATCACACAGTAAGAGAGTCACATTCATGTATACAAACTTGTGGGAAGCTTCAATGGCTTGTCACTCACAATAAAGGAGGCAGGGTCTGCTGTGATGAAGGGGACATCCTGCAGTAGGACGGTGAAGTCATCTCTATTGCTGTACCACTGCTTCTCCACCAGGTGTCCGTCAAGGGACTCCTACTGACCACCGTGAAAAATAGTTAGTAAATAATAAACTATATACAATACACCACTTGTGTAGTCCCCTGTACTACAACATCTTCTGTCCATATGTTATTTATTATATTTTGCAGTATGTCCTGTAAGGAGTTTTTATGATGCAAATTTTTTGGGGGTGAAAACTGACAATAGAATGCAATATAATCTTATCTTATCTTATTTATATGGGGACAACAATATAAACAGCACATAGATCAAAGATCATCAACTAGATTCAGCTGCGGGATTATTTTTTATGAGAGGATGGTCTGTGGGCTGGAACATAATTACAAATCATTTGTAGACTGCAATTTGATTGCAAGAATCACAAACAGATATAATATTTGACAAAAACATGATAATTTCAAATCTTGCTTACATTTGTATATGATCACTTATGCGTGGGTGCACTTATGCACTTATGCATTTGTATCTCTATTATGCGTGGGAATACTTGGGAACAGATTTCCAAAATTAAAATAACTGGTGTTTTTACAGTCTTTTATATCCAACAATGAAATACTCAGAAAACTTGGGGGGCAAATAAAACCACCGTGGGGCCAAATTCGGCCCGCAGGCCACCAGTTGGGGAACCGTGACATAGATGTTGGGGAGATCACATTGATGTAAGTTATTGATGTAAGACATAGATGTAAGAAATTGATGTAAGACATAGATGTAGTAAGACATTGATGATGTAAAACATAGATGTACAACATTGATGATGTAAGACATTTATGATGTAAAACATTGATGTAAGAAGTGATGATGTAAGACATTGATGTAAGACATTGATGATGTAAAACAGATGTACAACATTGATGACGTAAGACATTGATGTAAGACATTGATGATGTAAAACAGATGTACAACATTGATGACGTAAGACATTGATGATGTAAAACAGATGTACAACATTGATGACGTAAGACATTGATGATGTAAAACAGATGTACAACATTGATGACGTAAGACATTGATGATGTAAAACAGATGTACAACATTGATGACATAAGACATTGATGAAGCAAAACATTGATGTAAGACATTGATGACGTAAAACATTGATATGTAAGACATTGCACCTGCAGGGCTTGAGTGAGCAGGGCCCTCAGCAGTCTGAGCTCCCCTTCATGTCTTTCCTCCATACATTGACACATCCTGTCAATAGACATATAAGCAATCAAACCAAACGTCTACTAGCAAGTCACTATAGATTCACAGAATCGTTTAAAAATCCCAAAATTCTAATCTAATTGTATTTATCACGTACACAGTTTACAGCAGGTATAAAAGGTGCAGCAAAATGCTTGTGTGCTAGCTCCCTCAACATTACAGTACAATAATCTATATCTATAATAATAAAATAAAACATTATAAACTCAGGGAATGAATGCACTGACTGATTAAGGAGCTGTGCTATTGGTCGAGATTATCACCTGTTCTGATGAGGAAGTCCAGTATCATATTCTCCATTCCACACTGCAACATTGACAATGGTCCACTTCAACTGAAAATACATTAAGAACGATCTTAATGATCACCTAAATTCATGTGCTGTAGCATCGCTAAGAGTGTCACACAAGTGTCCAAAACCCACCTGGGACTGCAGCACCTGCAGAGCTTGATCCACCTCCTGGACAGCAGCTCTGATGGTCTCACTGAGCTGCATACACACAAACACACAACACTCACTCAAAGGAACGCAGCTATTAACACTGTAGTGTCATGAAATGCAGACTTTCACTGAAATCCAGATGTGTGAGGTGAGTATTTGGCTAATGACCTGGTCATGACATAAACAGAGCTCATCCACCTGGACGAATAGCATCACCAGCTTCCAGTCTGTGTCTAGATCAACGGCCTATCAGAGAGAAGTAAAAGACACAGTCAGAGATGACAACCAGTACAGAGAAGCTGTTCCAATTCTATAGGACAATGTGTTGGGTTATGTAGAAGGAGAGTTACTAGAATACCTGGTTACTCCTGAGGGTGAGGGACAGTTCCTTTGCCTGCTCCACAAGAGATCTGCAAATGAACGAAACATACAATTTTGTCTGTCTTTCTTTCATGCTCTCACAGGGAGCAGGTGTAGCTGTGGATTACCTGTGCTGTGAGGATTCAGAATACAGGTTTGTCTGACCAGGAAGAGTACTGGTCATTGCAGGGTTAAACATGGTCAGCAGCTCTGGAGTGACAGAGAGAGGGGAGGAAGTTGCTTGATTATAAGTGAAATCAACTTTGTCATATGCACATTACTTGGCACTTTAGTATGAGGTGAAAAAAACACTATTAGAAATGGCAAACAGGTATTTAAAATCAACTAACTCCATACTCCACCAACGTGTCTGACACACAGGTAGTTAGTTGGTTCCTTATACAATCAAATAAATGGATACACATACAATCTGTTTGGCCAGACCAGTATGGCATCTAGGGCTTTCTTGGTACTAACAAACAGAAAGTACCATGTGAGTTGAGAGTACAGTATGTCTCTCTATCCCCTTCCTCTTTATTAATGTCTGTTTTCTATTGTGTGAGAGGTACAATAATCTGTATCTCTTCCTTGTGGAATGCTTTCTGGTGAAATTAATTGCAGCGTAGTTGTAGTTTGGTGATTCTATCTTGGCTTATTGTTAGTAGTATCAGGGTTGTTCCTGATATCAGACCAATAACGATATCACAAAGTGGTTGGATCTTAACTTATATTAACCTCTTTTAAAATCAATTATTCTCAATTATACTAATTGATACTGCAGTAATCTACAATAACCTATTAGACATGTAAGAGTGTTCAATAGTTACAGTAAGTTATATAAGAGCAGGCCTGACACCATTATCTCAAGTACGTAACTGAATTGATTTCATTTCCCTCCAAATGTACCCTCTTTTCGATGCTTTTATCCTTTTCGAGCACAATCCTATCTTCGAAAAATGGTTAAAAAGCCTAAATGATGTCTGGTCCTAGATTATCTGGATGAAATTAGATAAACATTCTATGTAATGATACACATGACGAGTGTCAGATTGCAAAGGGAGGAAATTTGGCATGGGAAGAGGAGGATCTGTCAGCAGACCAACATGTCTTATCAACCAATCAAATGTCTTATCAACCAATCTTATCAACCAATCAAAGTGTGTTTTATTGAGATTGTATTTGATGGAGACTGTCATTTGGTGCTTAAGGTCACAGGAAATTGACAACGTGGATTGGATGCTCTAGAATTTGTCTGCTATTTTTGTGTGTGTACTTGTGTGCATGTGTGCGTGTGTGCGTGAGAGTGTGCGTGTCTGTTCGGTCTGTTTGCCTGCCTGTCTGTTTGTCTGTCTGTGTTAATAGCCTGCGTTTGTTGTCTTCTGGTTCAGAGAACTGATTTGATACATTAAGGAGCCCCCCAAACTCCCCATGAATAGCAGGCTTACCATGAAGTCTCAATAACACTCTGGACAGCTCACTGCTGCAAGGAGAGAGAAAAACAGAAGTCTGGAAAACCTTTCTGCGTTCACATTGAAATATCCCTAGTGACACCTGGTAGTGTCCCCTTATCTATCAAGGTTAGAGAAATTGATGTGTTGCTTACCTTTGTGTGTGGGGGAGACCGATGGCTGAGAGCACAGCCACATCTGAGGGTCTGACACTGTGAGCTGGAGAGAAAGGAGTGAAATTAGGAGACCGCCTAAGACCACATTGGTTGATCGTTCAGAACAGCCAACTCAACTCAATAAGGACTAAAGAGAAGGGACGGCCTGTTCAATAGGGCGAAAAATGTGCAAAACGCCGGACGCCAAAGGAGGAAAAGAACGGGATTTAGCTTTTTCTAATCAATTATATATCACTGGAACAGTGGGTTACTCAGGTCTGGAATCTGAGAGACTGCCACTAGAATTTTTCAAATCAGGCCTAAAGTCGTGCTTCAATGGCCCCGCCCGTTTTTGGGCGATTTCAGTCAGGTTGAAAATCGCCCAGAAGTTCTCATAGCCTGTCATGTAAAATCTATTTTTTTCAAATTTCAAAGCTTTCAATACATTCTCTATGGGTGTCTGTGGGCTTGCACTTACGCGCTTTCGTCATACGTGACGTAACCATGAACGTAACTAAGACAATAGCGGCTAGCAGCGTCTCTGTTGCGACCTGCAGTGTGGCGTTATTTTATGTTTTTAATTTGTAGACTTAGTTTACAAACATTCTGCCAACCATGGATTTCCAGTGGTGAGTTTTGGACTGATCTTGTTGATCGTGTACATACCCGCTACGAACGGACTAAATAATGAAAACGCTGCTGGCAGCGGAATCCAATACAGCTGGGAGACTTGGCTGGATGACAGAGTCCCGGACAGAGAAGTGGAGCGGGCCGGCTTCACCCTGGTCAGAGCGGACCGCGATCTGACAGTCACGGGGAAAATCGATCCTGGTAAGAGAGCGACTCTGTACCCCCGCCCCGACATTGAACTGCTTTCTGTGTCACTGCGACCTTACTATCTGCCCCGTGAGTTCCCCCAATTGTTTGTTACCGTTGTGTACTGTTGATAATCACAAGTTTACTGGAGAACTGAGACCAAGTAGAGACTTTGGACAGGGTGGATATGGTATAATAAAGGCAGTTTATTCAGAGGTAAAGATATCTGGAATCGCGTGCACGGACTCGTTCGTCAAACTCTTAGGGAGCTATCTGAAGAGAGCCCCGAAAAACATTGTGTGCAGACATTTTATACAATAAATGATGTAGGTTGAATCTAGTAGTTCTGATCTTCTGATTGGTCCTGATGAGTTGGGCGAGGTCCCCTCCACTGTTGCATTGGCTCTGAGTCGGGTTCTCTGTCTTCAAATGTTCAGCCTAAAGAGAGGGGATTTTTGTGTGTGTGTGTGTGTGTGTTTAACAGTGATGATGTGTGTGTGTGTTATCAGTGATGATGATGTGTGTGTGTGTGTGTGTGTGTGTGTGTGTGTGTGTGTCCTCAGAGCAAGAACTCGTGAGTTGGAAGAACTGAGAGACCTATGGCGTGGGTGTTGTCCTTGGCCACCTGCTGACAAGGCTGACAAGATAGGACTCTTTTGTCCATTGTTATAGGATAGGAACAGCATTGATTGAAAACAAACGCCCAACACAAAATGGGTCATGCACAAGATTTTTGTCAGACCAAGCTATAACATTATATATTTACTACGACAGTACATTCAACCAAAAGCTAATATAACAAAGGCATCAGAGATTATTTATAATCTGTCACAGAAACTGGAATCCATCTCCCCAGATCAGTCAATAAATGCTTCTGGTATTGACTTATATGCTGCCCCTGTCTTCATGTTGTTGCTGGACATATCTTTTTTTAAATGTGTGTAGGTCACCTAAATCATCAGAAAAATTGCCCCTCCTGAGAATTTTTTCAGGAGCCGCCACTGCTAAAGAGACTGAAGATAGATCTCTATATTCTAGGTGGCCAGACATAGAGCTGAATGAACCCAGATAGATCAGGACGGGTACAAGGCCAGACCATACAGTTAGATCAGTTAAGATGTACTTTACCTCCTCATCAGTCAAGCCATTTTATATCACTAATTACTGATTATTAGTGAACACTCACCTGAGGAGGGAAGGGTCTGGGAGAGAGAGGTGTGGGTGTGAGGCATTGCAGAGGCTGGGAATAACAGAGGAGACATTACAGGTCACATACTATAGAGCAGGGTTTCACAATAGGTGGCCCTCGGGTCAAATTCAGCTCCGCGGGTGATTTTATTTGGCCCCCCCAAGTTTTTTGAGCAAAAATGTTTTAATACATTTTGTTGTTGGACATAAAAGACTGTGAAATCACCAGAAAATCAGCTCAAAGTGATTAAAATAAGTATTGCCACGCATAAATAGAGAGACGTGATTGTATCCCAATGTAATCAAGGTTTGAAATTATTCTGTTTTTGTCAAATACTATATCCATTTTGGATTCTTGTGGTCAATTTGCAGTGTACAAATTATTTATAACTATGTTTCTACCCCTCGACCATCCGGTCAAAGAAAAATCGCCACACGGCTGAATGTAATTGGGGACCCCTGCTATAGAGATTAATACAGTATATATTTATTATTTCTCTATGTTACAAATATTGCCACAATGCATTTATGAATATGAGTTTAACATTGTGGGTTTTTCTGAAATTTGCTCCATGAGTGTTATCTTCTTAGAAAAGAGAAGCAGTTTTTAACAGAACACATTCAACAGGAATGCTCCCCAAAGATACCATACAGTAGAAACAAAAGAGTTCATTATCTCCTATAATGTATGCTTAGTACAATGTTACAGTAGGTCAATGTGAACCTATGTAGTCAGCATCATCCCTTTAAAACATTGAGGGGCCTAGTCAGAACTAGTGACCACATTTCTGAGGTGAGGCAAAAACAACATTCTTCTTGCACAGCCAGAATCCAAACATGAAGTATACAATGATTGTCTCACCCCTGAAAGCCTGGTTTTAATTGACAAGGTCCCTAAGATGTTACTTTATGACAATGATGCCAATAATCACTACAGTAATACAACTTCACTCTACTTGCACATTTTCTTCAATATCATTCCTGCAAACCTAAGACAAAAAGCCACTGATATTCTTCACTTTACCCAGTTACTTTTATATGTAAAATAATCAGATAATTTGAGTAGGCTATAGAAGTGTCAGTATGAAAACGTATGCACTCACTAACTGTAAGTCGCTCTGGATAAGAGCGTCTGCTAAATGACTAAAAATGTTGTTGTTTTTATGTAAAAAGTGCATAGAAACCTGTTGCCGTGGGGAACCCCAGCAAAGCTATAACCAGTAATGGAAGCATCCTTCAGCTGTCAAAGTTTTGTCCTCATAGGCCACCAGTTGTCTTCTGTCTGTCTGTCTTTCTGTTTGACTGTCTGTCTGTTTGTCTAACAGCTCAGTTGTCTTGACGTACTATCTATTACCGTCTTGCTTTCCTCTACCTTGCTGTTTGATGTGATTCACAGATATACCTGTCCATGGTAAATCATACACATCATGCACATGCATAGTGGGAGGGGTTGGGCTCACGTTCAAGGGCATGGATGGCCGTGACATTGTCAAATTACTATATTGATCATTATCGGAAGAGAGAATGGAAGAAAATGAAAGCACGGACGAGAGAGAGAGAGAGAGAGAGAGAGAGAGAGAGAGAGAGAGAGAGAGAGAGAGGTGAGCGGCAGGTAGATAACGTAATTGCGTGTCTAAAATCAGAGGTTGACAGGAGATGCTAATCTTATGGTTGGACTGTAGCCTATCTAAGTTAGATAAGAGAAAGATGTAACACATACATTCAACCCTTTGCATTCAACTGACTTAATATGGCTTTCTGCTTGAAAATAGGAACTTCACGGGTACAACATGTTATAGTCAGAATGACTATCGATTCCCGCAAGGGGCCCAACTTTGGTTTAAAAGTGGGGGGACATAATATATATATATATTTTTTTTTATCCCAGTCGTATATATTTTTTAAATTTATTTATTTTATTTCACCTTTATTTAACCAAGTAAGCCAGTTGAGAACAAGTTCTCATTTACAACTGCGACCTGGCCAAGATAAAGCAAAGCAGTGCGATAAAAACAACAACACAGAGTTACATATGGGGTAAACAAAACATAAAGTCAAAAATACATACAGAAAATATATATACAGTGTGTGCGAATGTAGTAAGTTATGGAGGTAAGGCAATAAATAGGCCATAGTGCAAAATAGTGTCACGCCCTGGCTCGGGGGACTCTTAAATGTTGAGCCAGGGTGTGGAGTTTCTGTTACATTTTCTATGCTTTTGTTCTAGATCGTTTATATCTATGTTGGCCAGGGTGGTTCCCAATCAGAGACAGCTGTAGCTCGTTGTCTCTGATTGGGGACCATACTTAGTCAGCCTGTTTGGCACTAGTATTTTGTGGGATCTTGTTCCGAAAGGTTTGTGTTGTAACCTAGGACTTCACGTATCATTTGTTTATTGTTTTGGTTCGTGTTGTGTACACAAATAAAGATGTACGCTTATCACGCTGCGCCTTGGTCCGCTTCATCTGTCGACGATCGTGACAAATAGTTACAATTTCGTATTAACACTGGAATGATAGATGTGCAAATAGAGATACTGGGGTGCAAATTAGCAAAATAAATAACAATATGGGGATGAGGTAGTTGGGTGGGCTAATTTCAGAATGGCTGTGTACAGGTGCAGTGATCGGTAAGCTGCTCTGACAACTGACGCTTAAAGTTAGTGAGGGAGATAAGAGTCTCCAGCTTCAGAGATTTTTGCAGTTCGTTCCAGTCATTGGCAGCAGAGAACTGGAAGGAATGGCGGCCAAAGGAGGTGTTGGCTTTGGGGATGACCAGTGAGATATACCTGCTGGAGCGCAGACTACGGGTGGGTGTTGCTATGGTGACCAGTGAGCTAAGGTAAGACAGGGATTTGCCTAGCAGTGATTTATAGATGACCTGGAGCCAGTGGGTTTGGCGACGAATATGTAGTGAGGGCCAGCCAACAAGAGCGTACAGGTCACAATGGTGGGTAGTATATGGGGCTTAAGTATAAACACTCTAAACGACTGCTCGGAGGTGTCCGCATGGTCCTAAAGCACACCGTTGCCTCGTTTTGTATCACATTCCAATGATAAAACTAGGGGGGACAAAAATACAATTTCAGAATGTGGGGGGGGAGATGTCCCCCCTGTCCCCAATGAATGTTGTGCCCCTGATTCCAGCTAGTAATAAAATAAAAGGACACCTATCATTTTGTGTCTGAGGGGAGATAAAAGATGGGGGTTGCTTTTATCTTTGAGATTTACTCACTGCACTACCTTTCATAAACTGACTGAAAATCATTGTTAACAACATATCATGCCATGTGAAGAGCCAATATTGGGGGGTAGGCTAAATATATAAGTGTGGAGAGTTACTTATTGGTTATGTGAGAAAGTGTGTTTTGTGACATATTGTATCACCCAGAACATTTGAGTTGGCACAGCACCAGCAGAGTGGAGTGAATTTCAGTTGAATTTGTAAGAGTTGGGGCTGAATTAAATTAATCCTCCATTTTGGTATTTACGCAGTAGCTCTTTTCCACGTGGTCAAATAAAATCACATGGTTTTAATACGTACTGGTAAAGCCTACAACAGTAACTACTACCAGTTAGACTCCCCTCACATGTATGCTTCCAGTTCTCACAATAAGAAGTGTGTGTACTCGGGCAGTAGTCTGAAAACAAAGACAATGGTAACCATTGGAGCCCCAGTGGAGGCTGCTGAGGGGAGAACGGCTCATAATAATGGCCGGAACGGAGCAAATGGAATGGCATCAAACACCTGGCAACCATGTGTTTGATGCATTTGATACCATTCCACCTATTCCGCTCCAGTCATTACCACGATCCCGTTCTCCCCAATTAAATCAAATCAAAATCAAATCAAATTTTATTTGTCACATGCGCCGAATACAACAGGTGTAGACCTTACAGTGAAATGCTTACTTACAAGCCCTTAACCAACAATGCAGTTTTATGAAAGAATACCTACAACAACAACAGAAAAAAATATGTATACATATTAAAGAGCAGCAGTAGAATAACAATAGCGAGGCTATATACAGGGGGCACCGGTACCGAGTCAATGTGCGGGGACACAGGTTAGTCTAGGTAATAAACGTACCACCAACCTCCTGTGGGGTGCCCCACTTTTACATGAAGAATTTACAATGTCATTGTTTGTATTCTAATTTTTTACTTCAGAGCATCCTATTTGTATTTATCCATCTATTCTACACCTATAATGACTCCCTGTTACAAAACATACTGTATTTCAAACTGTATGAAAATAAATCTGTAAATAAGAATTTTTATTAATTCCTGGATTATGAGTGCAGGCATTGAATGGTTGGCTGATGAAATAGCTACACTACATGACCAAAAGTATGTGGACACCTGCTCGTCGAATATCTCATTCCAGAATCATGGGGATTAATATGTAGTTGGACCCCCCTTTGCTGCTATAACAGCCTCCACTCTTCTGGGAAGGTTTTCCACTAGATGTCGGAACATTGCAGCGGGTACGTGCTTCCATTCAGCCACAAGAGCATTAGTGAGGTCGGGCACTGATGTTGGGCGATTAGGCCTGGCTCGCAGTCGGCGTTCCAATTTTTGAATTTGTATTTGTATTTATTATGGATCCCCATTAGCTGCTGCCAAGGCAGCAGCTCCTCTTCCTGGGGTCCAGCAAAATTAAGGCAGTTAACACAATTTTTAAAACATGACAATACATTCACATTTCACAACACACTGTGTGCCCTCAGGCCCCTACTCCACCACTACCACATATCTACAGTATAAAATGTATGTTATCGTGTGTGTATATGCATGTGTCTGTGCCTATGTTTGTGTTGCTTCACAGTCCCCACTGTTCCATAAGGTGTTTTTTTAATCTGTTTTTTTAAATTTAATTTTACTACTTGCATCAGCTACTTTTTGTGGAATAGAGTTCCATGTAGTCATGGCTCTATGTAGTACTGTGCACCTCCCATAGTCTGTTCTGGACTTGGGGAATGTGAAGAGACCTCTGGTGGCATGTCTTGTGGGGTATGCATGGGTGACCGAGCTGAGCCAGTTGTTCAAACAAACAGCTCGTGCATTCAACATGTCAATACCTCTCATAAATACAAGTAGTGATGAAGTCAATCTCTCCTCCACTTTGAGCCAGGAGAGATTGACATACATATTATTAATATTAGCTCTTTGTGTACATCCAAGGGCCAGCCGTGCTGCCCTGTTCTGAGCCAACTGCAATTTTCCTAAGTCCTTTTTTGTGTCACCTGACCACACGACTGAACAGTAGTCCAGGTATGACAAAACTAGGGCCTGTAGGACCTGCCTTGTTGATAGTGCTGGTGAGAAGGTAGAGCAGCACTTTATTATGGACATACTTCTCTCCATCTTAGCTACTGTTGTATCAATATGTTTTGACCATGACAGTTTACAATCCAGGGTTACTCCAAGCAGTTTAGTCACCTCAACTTGCTCAATCTCCACATTATTTATTACAAGATTTAGTTTACGTTTAGGGTTTAGTGAATGATTTGTCCCAAATACAATGCTTTTAGTTTTATAAATATTTAGGACTAACTCATTCCTTGCTACCCACTCTGAAACTAACTGCAACTCTTTGTTAAGTGTTGCAGTCATTTCAGTCGCTGTAGTAGCTGACGTATAGTGTTGAGTCATCCGCATACATAGACACTCTGGCTTTACTCAAAGCCAGTGGCATGTCATTAGTAAAGATTGAAAAAAGTAATGGGCCTAGACAGCTGCCCTGGGGAATTCCTGATTATACCTGGATTATGTTGGAGAGGCTTCCATCAAAGAACACCCTCTGTGTTCTGTTAGACAGGTAACGCTGTATCCACAATATAGCAGGTGTAGTAAAGCCATAACACATGTTTTTCCAGCAGCAGACTATGATCGATAATGTCAAAAGCCGCACTGAAGTCTAACAAAACAGCCCCCACAATCTTTTTATCATCAATTTCTCTCAGCCAATCATCAGTCATTTGTGTAAGTGCTGTGCTTGTTGAATGTCCTTCTCTATAAGCATGCTGAAAGTTTGTTGTCAAATTCTTTACTGTAAAATAGCAGTGTATCATGTCAAACACAATTTTTTCCAATAGTTTACTAAGGGTTGGTAACAGGCTGATTGGTCGGCTATTTGAGCCAGTAAAGGAGGCTTTACTATTCTTTGGTAGCGGAATGACTTTTGCTTACCTCTAAGTCTGTGGGCACACACATTCTAGTAGGCTTAAATTGAAAATATGGCAAATAGGAGTGGCAATATCATCCACTATTATCCTCAGTAATTTTCCATCCAAGTTGTCAGACCCCGGTGGCTTGTCATTGTTGATAGACAACAGTCATTTTTTCACCTCTTCCACACTCACTTTACGGAATTCAAAATGA